TTGTTTCCCTGTAAAAGTATTAAAAATATACGTAGAAGGCGTACATATGTATATGAATGGCATGACTAAAAGGCCTTCTATGCATATGCGTGTTTCCCTGTATGTGGACATGAAGTATAAGTATAAATGCAAGTATGAAATATACCTAATAGGCGTAAACAATTATATGAATGGTACGACTTAAAGGCCGTCTATGCCTGTGCGTGTCTCCCTGTATGTGAACGTGAAATACAAGTACAATATATAAGTATAAATATACGTAGATCGCGTTAACACGTATATGAATGGCATTAATAAAAGTCTTCTAAGCCGATGTGGGGTACCGTTTATTCCACGACACTCCGGTGATGCCCCTCTGTGTGTTGATACGTGTGCACACGCATATTATGTGTAAGCCCGTTTATAATGGCTAGCTGATTGTTGGAATGGAAACGAACCTCGAAGGGAAAACGTCGGAGAGGCTAGAAAGTAAATACGAGCACGTGTTTGAAAATCAAGCTGTTTGTTGTCATGGCAACGAAACTTAACGGGATACTATCAGGGTGTGTGAAAGTCTCTGCTTTGGTTGCAGTGTGATTTGGGCTCGTTGTTGGTGTGTGCATAACCATGCTTAGGTCGGATGTAGTCAATAATCTCTATGAACCATACTGTTGATGAGAGTGCAATATAAAACATATCGTGACCTATAAGAGTTGTCACAAACTTCGATGAGCGTTCTTATATTACGCCACTGTACTTGATCACCTACAACACCCAGCCATTTCAGAAATAGATCGTTGATAAAGTAGATACATATATACGCAGTATAACATTCTACAGATTGTGATAGTCACACACATATACGCAGTATAACATTATACAGATTGTGATGATCACACACATATACGCGGTATAAAATTGTACAGATTGTGATAATTACACACATATACGAGGTATAAAATTGTACAGAATATGATAGTCACACACAATATGGAGTCAGATAATAAAGCAAGCACATGTCAATATTTGTTGCGTCGGCCGTTTCATACCCTAGATATAGATGTTTCTGTTTATAATAATCATACCGATGCAACTAAACAATCAAGTAAATACAACAATACATCACACCTCGCATAAAAACAATCCGAGCAAACTTACGCTATGCATAAGAAACACAGACAAGCATGCAAGCCTCATGGAAGCACAAAGCACACATTACTATTAACAGTACAAGCAGAGACAAAGGCACATAAATAGATACTTGTGTACATTATCGATCATAAGCCAATCTGTGTGCACAGGTACACGCACCTGTATCTGAGCTGGTTTGGCACCGGGAGTCATGGGTGCGTCGGGACGATTCACATCCCAGATATACATATCCCCACTGCTACCCCCAGACGCCAGCAGATTCCATTGGCTGGGGTTAAAATCGAGCGTTCTGACTGGTCCGTTGTGTTTGGGCAGTTTACCCCGCTCACTGTCTCTCTGCTCAATACTGCAGCAAAATAAAAAAGGAGAGACGTGTGAAAGACTGAGGATAACATGAAAGTAGCAATAAGACGCAGCATACGTATTGTGATAAACTCGTTCGATTCACTATAATCTGTCAGTTTGCCGAAGCACTTGCCGAAGCCGTTACATTTTCACTCCATACTGCAGCAATATATATATATATATATGACGGATAAAGCAGGAGCGTGGGGATCTGATGCCGAGAAAACTATATACACACTGATCTTAAACACTAGATATTGTAGCGTGTTCCTTGAGAATTGCACAACCTCAATACCACTTCCCTATACACAATCGTCGAAGCAGCACAGATACAGTAATATATGAAGGAAGTACGCTAGTGCAAGCATTGAGCAATATGTCCATGTATGTGTGTATATGTGTTTGTAAGTGTTGTGCATGTACTTCAACAGTATATACCTCAATACAAACACTTACATGGCCGTAGGGTCCCACAGTTGGATGACGCCGCTATCCATACCACCGGCGATCATTCCATTGGGTCGACTCCCATCGTCCACCCCAAAGCCGCCCCAGCTCAGACAGTGAAAGCGGTGCTGAACATCGACCTAGAGATAAGCGAACAATGAATGTGTTAGTGAACCGACCGTTGCAGAGCCATAGGATTCAGCAAGCATATATTCCAACACTCTCGCTCAGTCTATGGATTTATCTCGAGAATCTGTAATAATCTTCCCCTATTCTTCTCCACTGCTTTCTACTCAGCCCCTTTTTCTGTTTCACCCATTCTCTGTAGAATTAAACTTTTTGCCGCACACTTTGTGACGGTACACCTTCTACATTCGGTATGTACCATATACTCGCCCTCTGTCATATTCCGTGCACATCAGAATTTTACCATTTTCCAAAGCATACAATACTCGACATATATATATATATATGTGTGTGTGTGTGTGTGTGTGTGTGTGTGTGTGTGTGTGTGTGTGTGTGTGTGTGTG